TTCATTGGATATACCTATTAAGCCATTCGACCGCGCTCCGCTTCAGCTCGGCCGCCTGCAACTAGAAGAGATGAAAGGCATTTCTGCTTGCTCCGCAAAGGATGGCGAAGAGAGCGACAATTTGTAGGCAGTGTGTGCCCGTCTACGTGCCACGGGCACGACAGAACAGATGTGTGCATGTGTGCGCAGCGTGCATGTGAATACCACGCGCAGATCACCTAAGGTGCAGGAGGAGCTAGTGGTAGCGGCAACACTGCTACTTGCCTTCCCGCTTTAAAATGTTTGACATCTGAGACCAATATTGGAACAACTCAAGTTCCACACACTAAACTGTTACAGCGTTCATCTGTCGCTTGAGCGGTGTCCGCTGATTCGATTATTAATGCCAATGGTGAGAGGCGTAATATTTTAGCATATTCGCATTTCCACCCCTACTTCCGAGAGGTTTATAGTAAACGAATCACTGTAATGGGTTCTCTAACACGCGAACCAATAAACACTTATTTCTAAATACTGGGGACAAGGCTAAACTCTGTTCGTAGTTGCCAAGCCAGAACGAAAATTCCTAGCTGTTTAAACTTTACTCTGCGTCAAACTTGTGGATGATTATCATTAAATTAAGTGCAAATATTCAATCCCATAAGTCTACGCAAAAATAATTCCTAATCTATTTCTCGACATATTGATGGTTGACGTTGTAATGAAGAATGATAGAGTATTAGCGGACGATTTTCGAGAAAGGAGTTTGACTATAAAAGAGTTTCTATTTATGAAGTGACATCTGCACAAAGCTACAAAATTACTAAAGTATCACACTAACAAATTTCCATAGACTCAGGTTCAATGGTTGCGGTAAATCATATGTTTGAACTATACAGGTGAACTGTGATATTGATGTCGTCTTTCTAAGTTGGAGCAGGTTTTTCACTTCTGTCAATGGTCATTGTGGAATGCCTGTTATCATTTGCAAACAAGGGGGAATTGTTCATTGAGGTTTTTCTCCATCGGTTGCCCAATCGTGTTGGGAATGCACATAGGTATTTGCTTTTGCTAAGCAATTATGGTCCCGTGAATGCTGAAAATTTTGCCAGTTGTCTCTGTTGATGATACCGTAGTGATGGCCTGTCTTTGAGCGATTACATATGAAGGCAAAGAATCTCTACCTCTCTACTCTGTGATTCATCCCAACTGGTGGATATGGGGTTGATATGAAGACTAACTTAACACTCAGGAGCATTATTGAACATAGTGCATAGTATTTTAAGAAGGTTTTCGCATTTGCGATGCACCGTTTCTCAGCTCTTTTTAAAATGCTGTATTTCCCAAACACAAACGTTTTCAATTAACCCCAGAAATAGTTCAATAACAAAGTACCAGAATTCGTTAAACATCGATTTACAAATAATAAAGAATTGACCTTAGTCGAAAAATAGTGTATTTAAAAATCCTTCCATTCAATGTCATGGTGCTCTGCTTTACATTCTTATTTCAACTACCATGATTGCAAACTGGAGTTATTTTCTATTTTTCAACCGAAGGCCTGGATAAAATTGTCAAACCAACTCTAGTGCCGACGATTTTCTACGTGAGGTATGCAACATGATGGTAAGCCTGGTAACGACGCTTTTGCTATTCTTGCTTTATTGATGTAACCATCAAACAACATAGCAGCAAGGGATCTTAGTTCGTTTACCATAGTATAGTATCATCTTTCGGCTTTGTAATCGCTGTCTCAAACTTATTAACACTCCAGTAAGGCATTTGGTGAAAAAAACCTTATTCTTAAAGAATTGGTGGAAGATTTAGCGAAATCGCTATGTCTAAGACATTTGAAACTATGACAGGAATAGACGAATGTTGATATTATTTATGAGTTGAAGCTCTACCCATATGCAGACTGAATCAGTTGTCAGCGTTTAAGGAATAAATCCCAGATAATAATGTGAAGGGGTTTCATAAAGTTTGTAATTTTGGTGACCGAAATTTTTTCAGTATCCAAAAGAACCTGGAAACTTTGCCAGACTTGGCGAATCAGAGCATTAAGAGACCAACACCATCATTATGTAAAGAATGATTGAAGGCAACCCAGTAGAAACCGTTTTCATATGATGTAAGCTTTAGAAAGCTTTCACCTAACTCATCAACTAGTTTTTAATAAATACGCATTATGGTAGATCAATGGGATCGTAACCCCAGAGCGGAAAAAAGAGCATTTCAAATCAAGAAAGCTATGCCTAGAAAATATAAACATTGCTTGGACACTGCAGCCAATAATCCGCAACCAACGCCTCATGTTGATCACGTGCGTGTCCTGACAACGATGACTGAAACAAAATACCTATTGGATATGTATAAACTGAACTGGAAAAACATCCTCCTTCTAATTTTTACACATTCGTCGAATTTTATTTGCTTACTAATTGACGTAATCGAGTTATCCATCCACTCGATCGTTAAAGTTACCATGTGAAAATGATGCTTCACTCGACCGTTATCTTCCTTAAAGTACTCAAAAAGCCTCCTCTGTATAAACCTCATCTATGGTACATTTTGTGCAAAAATGTTAGTTGGCTGCTATTTTATATTTAATTCTATGGAAGATCTTATTCAATTAACTGCAATAGTTGAACCGTATCAATTAATATCTTCACTAAACCTCGCCATCTTTCCTTACAGCGTCTCCAAGCCCTTGATTGGTGATAGCTTTCTGTAATCACCGCTCTCGGCTGCAGTGATGCTCGCGTATTATGAAAGACCATTCCCTCAAGCCATGGTAAATGGATGGGCCTATACGTCGTTGCATTTTCAAAAACATCAGATACCATTTGCACTAAATTTAGTGGCAATGGTAATCCAAAAGCAAATCGACTGACAAAGGAACGTTAGAAAGGCAATCAACTTATGGAATTAGCACCAAAATTCTAATTAATTCTGACGTGATATCGGAGGCGCGCCCAATCATACATTTCGCATTATACACCTGCATGGGGATATTTCTACCCCTATGCGATGTTTATAGTTTGTCTTAAAAATTTTGCCGGCCTCAAATGATTTTACCTAGTTACTGTACTTTTAAAATGAAAAGTGAGAAAAGGTAATCCAAGCGAGTTTAATCAATGCCTGATTCATCTACTTTTCGCGAATTCATTTTATTGCACCACACTTGGGAAAAATTTGTCTTCACGTGCACCCGTTCATTTCTCCTCAGTCATTCAATTAACTACTTATTAAGGCTTAATTTTACAATACATTATTTCTATCCTTAATTTAATAGGTCTCATCGAAAACTAATGACCATACCCAAATGAGATGTAGTGAGTATGCTGATCATACTCAGAAAGATACTTTTACTAGCTAAGGCACTCTTGAATATAGGTGTAAACTAACATTTGGTGTCGCGTAATAGCGTTTTTAAGATGTCAACTGGCTCGATCTCCCATTTGCTCCCTAAAAGGCCCGATGTGATGCTGCCGTCTAAACTACTACACCTTCACCGAAATCACAATTCAGTTGTAAAGCAGGCTCTATGTTCTTAAATAGATTGCTTAAAGCATGGCACACAAATGAACACTCACTCATTAACTACGATAGTAGATGATATATTTGAACTTTGTTACTTATCGATAAACAGTTGTTGAAATGACCCAGTACTCTTCTTGATTGACTGAAAAAGAATTCTATGATGTCGTTTGTAAATCAAACTGAAGTGGTTACATCAAATTATTACCGGCAGGAGAAGCAGGTAGTCCAAACGTTATAGTCTTATGGTTCTTTGTAATGTCGTGTTGAGGTCATTAATAGAGCTGGATTCCCAGGTAAATTAGTATGTCAGTCCTGGTTAAACTCCAATATCATAGCAAAGTTTAGGGCACAATTTTAAGAAGGGTCAAAACGGAATTTTCCTACTTAATATAAAGGAGATTTGTCGTGAACTTTTTATTACAATGGCGCCGACTTCGAACATTTGCAACTAATGAATGAACTGCCTTCACCACACGTTGTTTCGGGGAGAATCAAGCACTTTTCCTCATCAAACCATTCTTAATTGACAAACTCGCTAGTTGGGACGACGTCTGCTAATCTCCCAAGCACAGACCTAGGATTGGTCGACGGAATAGCAACATGAACCACTCCTACCAGCCAATCATGAACTTCTCATCACGGCCACCTACCACTGTCAATGCTACCTACGGATATAAAAGGTGTTGTTATCGAACTTATAATGGTCTGACGAAGAAAAGCATAAGTCATAAATGAACTAGTATTTTTCGGCTACATTAAATGTACTCAGTATATCACATAATTTGAAAATAACCGGTAATTACCATAAAAAGAAGCATTATTAGAATGATGTAAATGGACAGGTATGTGCTGATACGAATACCCGCATGACTTATAACCTTTTTGTAAAATAAATCTGATTTTCGAGGAGATCTCCGGGATTAAGTGAAGTATTTATTGTTGAAAATTGGGCTAGAAGAGGAGTAATATGCAAACATTCGTACTTTGCCGCCTTCACTCGCTCAGTGGGTGGAATTTACCAAGTTCCTCTCCTGTTATACACTTAATGTAGCTGTTTGTTGTTTACTTCAAGAGGAATCTATTACAGCTGTACAACAATTAGTTGTGAAAGCTGTTCAACCAAAATAAACAAAGCAATGATACAGACGATCATGCGACCTAAAGAACTCGATTATCCCACGACCTTGCAAGCTTAAAATGTCCAATTTTTGTTATCAATAAATTCCCCTCAACTTTCCAAACCCTTGACTTCGCTTCTATCTGGATATATGATCCGAATTAAAAATTCGGTCATGAATGTTGTCACTATAAGTGTAATGTGGGAGTAACTATGATTTTGGTTGATAAACAGTTTATTCAACTCCAATTTGGCGAAATGGTTGACAGGCGATGCTTTAGAAAAGTGTTTCAGTGTTTCAAGGGAGTAAAGGTAGAAAATAGGGATAAAATGCAATCACACCAAATGGAAACTGTTGGAGATGGAGAATAAGGCGAGACGAATGCATTTTCAACCTGCTCTGGGAGCCGCCAATTCAGAAGTCACCGGTAAGTGTTTTCCAAAAAAAGTATCCCATTCTAAAGGGCTGCTACACAACCACATTCGTATGTGCTGTAGCCGAGAGGCAGAAATGCTCATCGCTATACAGTTACAGTTTAGTAAAAACACTAGCGTAATAGAAAAACAAACACTTCTTATAGTTTTAAGGCGAAACATAATCTCCCTGAATGCATAGTTCTGGCGATGTACACATCCATTTGTTGCCTATACTTACTGGGATCTGATTAATTTAGCTGCAGTTATTTGGTCATATGAGGAGAAGGGAAGAGGAAAGATTTAAGGTAAAAGTAGGTCTCTAGCAATTGTTGTTCAGAGTGCTCTTTCTTATTCCCCATTTCATTAAAGCGAATTTCCTCTCCTTCTTATTCACTTTCAGCTCACCAAGCTCATTATATGAAGCTCATCTATCCCCAGTAGAACTCAAAATCTTTTCAAAAAAGACTAAGAAAAGACGTGAAAAGAACAAGAATTTATAATTAGACACAGGTATGCTTTGTAGGCAAGTGCTGAAATTTCTGCAAGAAATATTAGTTTAGGCTCATTGTGGTAGTGGACAATTTCACATATTTGTCGAATGAAACTTACTGAGGGATCCACAGAGCGCAAGTATTTGGATTTCTGGAATGCTTAAATGCTTTTTAGGGAAATACGGTAATTGAAAGCAACTGTATATGCAATTTACAGTGAAGAATCACATAACCCTTCAAAATACTTTTCCGTTGACACTACTTTCAGTGAAGCGTCAATCCAGTGGAAAAGGACTCTTCTGTCGGATTTGTCACAAATAGCGTTTAATCAGCTGTTTATACTTTTTATTAATACTATACATTTTATGCGCAAGGGAGTGTTGAGACATTCATTCGCCTGAATGTCCACAGTATGCGGAGGTATTGCCTTGGTGTTCAGCACAGTTGTAATCGGTTTCCGAAGTGAGGAGATGTGTAATATCAAAATGGATTTGTGCCTTGATAATACGTGCAAAAGTGGCTATCCTCATATTTTTAATATGTAGTAGAATGAACCATTTATTTTTATGGCTAGCCAACCATTTGATACAGACGGCCAAAGTGAATAGTGTCTGCTTTCCTTAATCATTGCGTGATTTGTCTGAAATCTTTCATCCACCGTGGCACTGGTCCACCACTACCCGAGTGTGGCAACTGATTTAGTTAAAGATGTCAAGTTTGTTACTTTTGCATTAGAATATTTACATCTTACAAATAATATGTGAAAAGTTGTGACATAAAATACAGTTTCATTGCTTATTTTGACAATTCTCCGTTTGTTGCAATTCCGGTGGTAGTATTCTATCGAGATACATATAGGGAGCGCAAACAGCTTCAACATAATTTTTCAGACAAAAGTTAGGATTACAAGCCCCATGATCCTTGCTTCATAAAGCTTCGACGTTTGATAAAGGTTGGAAATAGATGGGGCAAAGTGCATGAAATATCAATTATTCATCATTACAATACGTTTTTATCTACCTCAGAAATCTTACAACCTTTCAGGTGTTTACTGGATAGCAGTGTCAAAGTGCTCTGTCAGGGTGGAAATGATTTATAATACGGGGATGGTAATAGTGGTATAGCAATGATCTCGTGGAAGGTACTGTTTGATGCTGACAGGTACATGATGTCACTTTTGAATTAGATCCTACCAGTGAGCTTACCAAACTTATAGGACCCAATAGTGTTGCTATATTTCCTAAGTTGGGGAAAAAAATTGAGTTCGATGTCCATACGAGCCACTCATATCTAAATATACATTGCGAAAACTTAGTAATTTTTCAGTTTGGCCATCCATTAAATGTGGTCGTATTTTAGACTTAGGACTAATCTCGCTCACAAATTTGGATGGAATTGACATTGGTGCATATTTGATGGAATGAAGTGAACTAGAGACACATGATTTAGTGTCTATGGCATACAGTTCTTGACCGGGGTTATTTCCCATCTCATTTCGGTAGAGAAGAGCATCGACCACTTTTTTTGCAGTTTGTCGAGATAGTCAATCCCTTTACGCCGAGGATGAGCCTGGTACTCTTGGAATTGAAGGTTAAAACTAACCGAGAGTAGTTTTGAAGAGTCTCGCTCGAATGGCAAATGCTTTTCTCTTTTTAGATGCACGCCGATATGATGAAGTGTCACTCTAAATTGAAGATGACAAACAGGCATTTTAGCAATGAAAAGGATCAGGAAACAGGAAATTTTGATAGCTTGCAAACAGTTCTCTGAAAACACCGACTCACTACTATGTGGCACAACCCCGACTCCCAAAGTTTGTGATGCTGTATCGAAACTGAAACTTACGTGAACCTTGAACGCGCATGTAAATAGATTGATGAGGCTTAACAGCAGCTTCCAAACTGACTGATAGTTAATGGCAAGTTTTTATTCCCTATAGTCAGTGTGATACCTGTCGAGGCAAGATGGACAAATCCATTCAGGCACTGTTTCTAGGTCTTTTTTTTCTAAGGTCTCCTGCCCTAGCCATGACACGTGTCGTTAAAGGGCGTACATGCACGCACATACACACACACACACACACGTCCAGGCCGCGAGAGTGCGAACAAGGCAGTGGTCAGGACCAGCGCCGACCACGATTACGATTGTGCAGTGTGTACAAGTTGCCGCTTGATACGGCCATAAGCATTAGCCGTGCATGCGCACGCACACACGCGCACAGATTTGCACGTGCGTACATTGCGGAATGTACGCGTTTTGGCTGCACACATCATCTTACAGCTGGGCCTTGTGGGTGCGTGCGCACGTGCATGTGCGCGTGTGTGGTGGCGCTCACGCACAGATGTAAACGCGGTAATGCAACATGCACTTTGCGAATTATTGATTTGAGCGCGTGTGCGTCCGTTTGTGTGCTATTACATGCATGGGTGGCGGGCTTAAGCGTGCTTGTAGACAAACCGGCCATGTTTGCAAGTGGACAGGGTTAATGGGTTTCGTTTGGGCTTTCCTTTGTTCCCATGTAAATCTCAGTACTGCAAAGGATACACAGTGCATTTATTGCTCAAGCAGAGCAGAGCGGGGTGTTTAGGGTGCTAATGCAACTCAAAAATGGTTAAATCACATGTGTACACGTCAGCAAATTCTGAAAATTATATGAAGTAGAACGATGGATGGCTTTCTCTAGTGGTGTTTCACATCATCGAAGTACGCTTCGTTTGGTGAATTCCCAGCTTTACTTTCTTTTTCTAGTATTTATGCTTATGGCAATAATTATTCTCCTTGTCGTTACTTACATATATTCTTCCGACAAGTTATGATGATATCAGTTGTCGCCCCCCACCCCAACCTCCAAAAAAATGGCATGCTCAATCCTGCGCTCTTGCAGCACATTTAATTTAACACAAACAAACGGCCCGGAAACAAACGGCATTTGTTTATTCCCCTCTGTAAACGAGTTATTTCATTCGACAAACACGATGTATAATACTAGACTTTTAACGCTTGCGCAAATACTGCATTAAAGATGTAATTATAAATGGACGAAACAAATTATAGCTGGATAAACGGCAGTTGAGAGTGCAAACACCACTGCTAACACGTTTCTTTCTTTGCTTTATGCTTGGTACTGACTGGCCTCTTCTCTTGTCTTGCGTACTTCCACTATGGTTGCAGAAATGACGGGAACTCAGCTGATGGGTTTTGATGAATTTGGCATTTATTCAAAGGCCCAATGCAAAGCCTTCACACAGTTGTAATTGTCACTCAGCTACCAATGTGCTGATAATAGACAGCTCCAGGGTAGAGGTGATGACTTAACCACTTTATTGATGTGACTAGGCTTTTGAATTAAAGGAAGCGGCTATGGGTTTGCTTGACGTTAGTCCATATTTCCTGAACATTTAACAGCACGTCTTGTGTAAGCGTTTCCGTTTGAAGGTGCATAATTGTTCTGTCTATAAATACTTTTTACTGCAGTAACATTGATTCTATTCCTCTTCCTTTTGCAGTACAAATCCTTTTCGATCGAATGAACTACCAACAAACAACTATGTTTGCTTTAGAATGTCTTGGGAAGTAAAGATGACATTAACAGTTTTAACAACACAGCCTTAGCATTTTCCAGTCGCAGCACGCCCTCAATGCAACACGACTCCAGAAGCCCTACTTCCACCTGATATGGTACCATAAAATTTCAGTTTCTTTGGTAGGAAATTTAGCATCATTGTTGCTATTTTGGGTTGTCTGATCTCAAACGCAGAAGGGGCTGTGAAAAGGAGAGGACAGTTTGCATTTCATAGGTTGACAAAGTGATTCGCACCAGTTTATTACGATAGGTAGGTAACATAAAGGGAAAAAAAATCATATTAATAGCCTGGATCTAGCTCTTTGACTGTGAATGACCAATACCTACCTTCAAATAATATTTTTGGGTTGACTAGAAAATCTTCAGCATCTGGAAAGGCGGCAACATATTACTTGTGGCGCTCACCTTTCAGATGTGCATTTCTATACATTTTACACCACATTTCCAAATATTCTCCAAAATTATGGGAGAATTTAACAACTCCAACAGTCATTGCTCTATGGAAATGTAGATGGAGCTAAAAATTCTAAAGTTCCTACGAACCGACATCGATGCTCGTGGAAACTGTTGTCCCTAACCCATTTGGAGTTTCATTTCATCGAACAGCATCGATGGATATTAGCTGGTAATTTTTTGCTTTTTAATTTAGGCCTAACATAGTACAATCTCGTTTTGTCGATTACATTTAGCACGCTTCGCAAAGCGACTAACATCAATCAGTTACCAACCCAGCAAATTAAAATTGCCTTACTTTCTAGTTTTATCACCAAACCCTTTAGCAAGAAGTTAAGCATTGTTACTACTGTTCCTAGGATTGTTTTGCAGTTTTTGCAAGCCCCAATCACTCGCTACCTGTAGGATATTTTGCCCTTGCCATAATGTGACGTCGGATCAAAAATTCCATTTCCATTTATGTGAATGTTTCCACAAGAGCAAATCGGGATGTTTTGACCCGCAGTCCCTTAAAGTCGGTGCAATAAAAGTCACATATCACGAAGTTTATGCATTGGCGCAGCCATTTGAATTACTCACAGCAAGCGCACCGTTCAAATGCTTGATCCAACCGGCTGTGACTGGATGTGGGTACGCTAAGCTTTTTACGCTGTTAATTAGTAAACGTAAAAATCCCCAAAGTCATAGATTATGCATAGGTTTTTCGGTCAAGTAAAAGTTTAACCGGAAATCAAGATACATCAGTAAAACAGAAATCGAATCCCTTAATTGCACCTAAAAGGTACAGATGGCTTCGTAAAAAAGCAAGCAAACACCAAATGCACGTCATTAGGAGTTGGGATTTCGCCATCGCTTGCTCTCAAACATATCAAGAACAGGTTTGGTTTAAACTAACAAAACAAAGTAATTTTAGACGATTAATTATTGCCTAATCTGCTTTTAAAATTGCTAATCTAGATCTACATATATTTAAAACGTTCTAAGTGGCTAAAGAGATGCTTTCTGGAAACGAATTCAATCTGTTCCTACCAAAGTGGGTGGGTTACCAAGCAAATGGCGTTATAATGGCTAATGTTATCCAAAATTATTAAAAATATGGGTAGCCTCTTGTAAATTTGGGATGCTCGGCACTACTGCCCCTTTGGAGAATAAGGGTTTTCATAATACAACACTTTCGCATTTTGTCATTGACCCAAAAATGACTTGTTGATTGCGCTCTTACTTAAAGACGAAAAGTGGTTGATCCCACACCAAGGTAATACGTCCTCTCTAAACTCCCCTAATGTCCGTAAATTTCATGCTGAAAGTTCACCTACAAGGGTGTCGCAATAATTCCATTACGACTTCATGGCATCTCTTAAGCTTGCCCAAATTTCATTAACCATAACTTTTAAATTAGTTTTGCCGTTTTGGTATTATCATTGTATGCATTTCATATTCTGAAATTTCTAGGAAAGAAAATAACGGATGCCTGAGAGATGAAACCTTAAACGGGTGTTACTCAATAGACAGAGCTGGCATGTAAGGAAAGGGGATGAACTTTCATGAATGCCTTCAGATACTGAGCTATCCAGGACCAATTCCTATACATTTAAATTGGAGTAGTTTTGACATCACTTGTTGTTACAGCTGTGCAGAATCCCCCATGAATGGGCCTTTATTTACAGTAGCTTCTCTCCCAATCATCAAATTTTAACCCCGACAGCGTGGCCATACTAAATTGATTTAAAAAATGTTAATTTATAATTAAAGTACCTGTTAAAGTCCAGCGAGAAAACTAAAAAACAGGGAGCGAATAAATACTATTTCCATTATTTTATGCCTTAAAGCGCTACAATTACGGAAACAGGAAGATTATGGGTTAAGTGACAGTGTTAAATCAGAATTCTTTGACAAGAAAATTACCTGTTAAGATTCATCATATCTCCTTGAATCCCTTTATGCTTCGTCCTGACTGAGCTACGCGAAAGATGGAATGCCACTCCACCACATGGGGAGTGGGTGGTCATCGAAAAGCTCTAGTTCACTACAGTCATCACAACCCGCACCAACGGCAACAGAACTGGCGCAATCAATTCTTAAATTTTAGCAGAGTTTAACTACTCCACCATGGAGTTGATGCCGCTTTCGAGTTTGCGGCCACCTTCAAAGGAAACCACTCAACTGCAGTTGTAAGCAGAGCCAAACATCTCTCTCGTGGTGAACCACCCATATTTCCACGTGACCACATTTCAAGCTCACGCAAGGATTTTGCGACATCCAAATCATCGCCAGGACCTACAAACCTGAAAGGAGGTTGATCATAAACGCACAGAAGCGCTGAGTGAGGGAGAATGTGAGCATCAATGAAAAGCCATGGCCCTACTATGGTGATTGAATAGTGGGACACTCTGGGATCAGCGTAGCTAAATATACAAATAATACAAATACCATTCTGTTACACAACATCCTCTTCTTTTGAGCGTGGTCGTCTTATGATCTCTCTTCTTAGTTGGTTTTCATCGTCGGGTTTGCCAGGGCTCCGTCCACAGAGTAACATGAAATATCATGAAACAAGAC